TTTCTTCATAAGAGAGGTGCTCCAGCTCTCTGTTCATCTTAGTGGTCCTCCTCTGGACCCGCTCCAAGAGCTCTGCGTCTTTCTTGTACTGGGGGCCCCAGGCTTGGATCCAGTATGGGGCCTCACAAGAGCTGAGTAGAGAGTGACAATCACCTCCATCTCCCTGCTGGCCATCCCTTCTTTAATGCAGCCCAGAACACAGTTGGCCTTCCAGGCTGCAAGTGCACACTGTTGGTTTATGTTCAGCTTCTTGTCTACCAGGACCCCCAAGTCCTTCTCTGCAGGGCTGCTCCCAAGGAGATCTTCCCTCGCTTTGTATAAATACCTGTGATTGCCCCGACCCAAATGCAGCACCCTGCACTTGGCCATACTGAACCTCATTAAGTTTTCATGGGCTCACTTCTCCAGCCTGTCCAGGTCCCTCTGGATGGCTTCCCTTCCCTCCAGTGTATCGACTGCACGGCTCAGCTTGGTGTTGTCTGCAAACTTATGGTGGGGACTCTCAATGCCATCATCTGTCATTGATAAAGATGTTGAAGAGCATCAGTCCCAAGACTGACCGCTGAGGGACGCCACTTGTGACCAGCCTCCATCCTGACACAGAACCATTGATCACAACTCTGAGTGTATCCAGCCATCCAATTCCCAATCCACTGAACAGTCCATCCTTCAAATGCACACCTCTCCAATTTAGAGAGAAGGACAACTGGATATACTGAATTGAGTCCAAAGGGGGCTACTAAACTGATCAAGAAACTAGAATACCTCTCTTAAGAAGAAAGGCTGTCTGCACTGGAACTGTTTAACTTGGAGGAGTTTCACATGGTCTCATCAATACCTACAAATACTTGAAGGGAAGGTGTAAGGAAGATGAAACCAGGCTCTTTTCAGTGGTTTCCAGTGACAAGATAAGAGGCCACAGGCACAAACTGGAACACTGGAAGGTCTGACTACCAAGAAGCTCTTCTGTGCTGTATGCATGAGGGAGCACTGGCAGAAGGCTGCCCAGGGGATCATAGAATGACTTGGGTTGGAAGGGACCTTGGGGATCATCAAGCTCCAACTTCCCTGCCACAGACAGGACCACCAACCTCCAGATCTAATACAGGACCAGGCTGCCCAGGGCCTCATCCAACCTGGCCTTGAACACCTCCAGGAACTCTCTGGGCAGCCTGTTCTAGCATCTCACCACCCTCCTGGTAAAGAACCTCCGCCTGATATCCAAACTAAATCTTCCCTCCAACTTAAAACCATTTCCCCTTGTTCTGCCATTATCTACCCTTGTAAAGAGTTGACTCCCCTCCTGTCTGTAGGCTTCCTTTAGGTACTGGAAGATTCAATGAGCTAGGTAGGAGAGCTGTAGGCTCTCCTCCTTGGAAGATCTTCAGAATCTGCCTGGACAAGAGTTTGAGCAGGCCGATGTCTGCACTTGAGCAGGAGAGGTTCTTCCAGCCTTCCAACTCTAACCATTCTGTGATTCTGGGAAAATAATTAAATCTCATACTATTTTAGTCTTTAAATAAATAAATAAATAAATAAATAAAAATTTCAATAGGCAAGTACTGTAGCAAAAAATAGCTCTCACTGTTTTAGAACCTTAAGTCAATGTCTTATCTTGAATTATGATTGAACACTTAAGACTCAACAAATATGACCAAAAGTTCTGAAGCAAGTGGGTAAAGGAAGATAAAGAGCAGTAAGACATGCAAAAGTACCACTGTTCTGGATAGTTGCTATTTGTTTTATACAAAGTCATCCAGGGTCTCAAGACTCTTGAAGTTGTCCTGAGTAAGGCCTATTACTTCCTCTGAAATCATGCTACAGTAATGTGCCTTTAGTTCACAAATTTGAGGGATGCTCAGAAGCTTTCCAGTGAAACTGAAGTAAGACGCTTCCGCTAGCAATACTATCAGTAAATTCTCCCACTGACCATCCTATGGCATAAAGTTTAGCAGCAGAGACAGAGCAGCAAAATTATTCCTAATGTTCATCAGGACAAGTTGAGAATGGACATCATTTTTGTACCAGGTATGCAAATTATACCATATTTCTCTACACCATCATAATTTTGCTCTCCTCAATGAGATTTGGACCAGTCTCTTATCTACTTTAATTTTTTCTAGTCAACTAGTTACGTTTTTCTGCAATTCCCTATGAGGCTAATAAAATAAGCACTCTGCAGACTGCAGTATGCCTTCAGATCATGGCAGATAAACCAGTATACCAGGAAGGCTCTTGGTCAAAGACAAGTGGCATAGCTGGCATGGTAATGTTGTCTCCAGCAAGATTAGCAGATTAGCTGGTAAGGACACATAGTGTTAGCATGTAGCCAATTCAGGAAACAAAAGTATATGTTGATCAGTCAAGCCTCACTAAATCAGTACTGGTAAGATCATTATTTGTACACAGTAAAGCATGACACCTTTTAAAGCATCATGGAGTAAAGCAATCTACTATAGAGAAAAAAAAACGGAGATATATTCCTGTGCGTAAATGAAAATAATGATTCATTTTCTCAATAACATAATCCTCACATTTAAGAAAAGGCTACTGTAACTGTAAACTTTTAGTACTCGGGACAAAATAATATTTTCACACAAACCAATAACTTAATATACACAATGACTAAAAATGGCTCTACTGCCAAATCCAATGAAAATTTAATTACCCCATACACAGCAGACTATTCAGGAAACTACTTTCAAAATACTATTACAGCAGCTAAAAAGTAACCTTAAATTTGGTTTGAATTCTATTTGGTAGAAGAGCTTATTAAACAGCTTTCCAACACATAGGGTGTTTGAAGGACTGGAGATATAACCCTTCTCTTCTACATGCAAGTATCTTCACTGGTTAATCAAGTGAGACATCCAAAATAGAACGAAAACATTAATTCAAATCCAGTAATTACTTTAGAATTATTCAAAATCAATTCATTGATAGGCTAAGGTAATATAGATTTATCTTTACTCATTCCAACTCCACCCCTGAAAAAAAAAAAAAAAAAAAAAGTTCATATACGCTGATAGAATTTGTTAGTAACATTCAGAAGAGCTAGCAGTTCAGGTGAAAGCCAAACTAATCAAACTGATTACTACAGTAATTGTCATTTCCAAAATTAATACCAAAGGCTGCACTAAACAATAAATACAAACATTCTAACATGAAAATATATAACTGAATTTGAAAGTTCAGCAATGCTTTATAAAGGTCAGTATCACAAATCTGATGGTAACACACTGAGATACAGTCAATTTAAGTATTCGCATGGAAGTGTAAACTTACTTTACAGATCTTATGTACTTTCATAAGATAACAAACACACATCCCTCAGAAACGCAGCAGAATACACAAACAAGTCCTCAGTGCTCACTGATCGCTGTAAAACTTTTTCAATTAGAATTTTTCTCTGTGAACTTGCTTCTTTCACTGTTACTGATCTGCAAGTTAGCATTTACTTAGGCCTTCATCTGGAACACAGAACATCCAACCAGGACAAGGAAGCTCGTACAGAATACAGAGTAATAAAACATACTAAAGTACAACAGTGAATGAAAATAAACAATTCTGCTTTGCAGTGCCAGAGTAACATTAACAAAACGTCAAATTATTCAGCCATAAGATTAAGAACAGAGTTACCAACACCACTCATCCATACATACTGGGAAGCTTCCAGTGACACAACAGAACCACGTGACAATTAGACTTGTTCACTAACTGCCTAAGTTATGCCAGTAAAACTTTAATGTGTAGGACAGCTGTAAAGGTTTATTTAATTTTACATGTGAGAAGCTCTAGTGAAGGCATAACTCTTGAGTAAAACTAATCGTTTTTTTGCGAGGGGGAAAAAAAAACTAACAAAAAAACACCCATACACCTCCCTCGAAAAAAAGAAAGAAGAAGATCTCAATCATTTTCACCACCTCAATTATTACTATGCAGCATTAACATCCACATGTAACAATTAGATTTGGAACATGAATACAAAAATCCATGCAAGAGATTCAGATCTCTTACTATTCAAAAAGAAAAAAAGGTTTCTTTAACAAAATTAAAACAGCCCCCCCTCCCTTCCCAAAATCCAACCATTACTCCATCTTTCACAGAAAACTCCAGGACAAATCAGTTATTTTAAACACTTAATATTTTTAACATCACTGCAGGGAGCACAGTGATTCCAAAAATAGGTGACATACAGAGCAGCAGAGAATTTGACCAGGAAAGCAGAAATGATAATGAAAGGATTCTAATCCAAATTAGTGCTGCTGCAACTGCTGCTATTTAAACAAAAGAGAAAAGAATAAATACTGTCCTTAGAGAAAAGACAAATGAATCACCCAGAGAAGTACAATTGCCTACTCATAACTGCAGAGAACAAGCAGTAATATTTTCACCAGGAGTGCAAGATAACAACACTATGCTTTGTTGAATTTATCATAGTAGTGGTGGTAGAGAAGCTAACAAATGTGCATGTCAGCTTTGAAACTACCTACTAAAGCCATCAGTTCTCATCTTAATTAAGCACAATAAATCAAAACAACTACAAAGCAGAATCACACATTGCCTGAATCTGCAAGAACAATGTTGTTTCAGCAAAAAAATACTATTACAGTAGTTGAGCTTTTGCCTTGAAATTCTTACAAAACATTATATATGGTTAACAAAACATTTTACACACTGCTTTTCTCTCCGTAATTTTAAGAATTCTTTTCAATTATAAAAATATAAAATGCTCAATAAGACCCATCTGTTCTACTGGAATATTTGCATTGGCAATTATGTAATGAAAATAACAAGAGAAGCAAGTAATTTTTGCATCTTACTTTCCAAGCCTCTTAATCTATACTTTGATATACTTAGGTCAAACCATCTGTTACTTCTTTTCCTCATCATATTACCTACTAATTATATTACTTTATAACTAGCCTCTACATAAAAGTAAGAGCAAGAAAACTACATAATTAAAATAAAAATAAACATAATACTTATAATGACCATACCTAGTAATAAGAACCGCATTATCATGGTGGGCAATCCCATTTTCTGGAATGGTGTTTCCATCACTTTGGTGGGAGAGAATGGATTTCTGCCACTTACAGAAGCTATCGAGGGACTTGTCTGCATGGTGGTTTATCTCCAAGTTTGGCTGCAATACAACATGCATACCAGAAATGTTCCAAACAAATTACTAAGGTCAGTTGTTAAGCCTTTTGAAGACTAAATTGGGACTATAATTAGAAGCAGTGGTTTCTAGGAATAAATTCTTCTTGCCAAATTTTATCTCTGTAAAATCTGACCCCAAGTTCAGTTGTGTATTACTGAACAGACATTTCTTCTGCTCCAACTTAAATAATGATTATGTCAATACAAAAAAAAAATAATAATAATTTAAAAAAAAAAAAATCTAAGTATTGAAATATAGGTCTAAAAATAAAACTCAAAGTTATATTAATATTCACCTGAAGTAAAGAACAGATATTTTTGAAATAATATGTGGGAAATATTCCTTTGAAATGTTTTCATCTTGATTATAGTAGTAAAAGATTACAAGGCAGGTTTTGTACTCAGATGCAGCCATTTCAAGCAATAATTGAATAATTCTATACTACACAGTAGCATAATTTGTATTTCAGGGATATAAAGTTAAAGTGCAACAACTCTTACCTGATCTTCAGTGAGGACAATTAAACGTGTCACTATTATATTCACTACGTTTCCTAGACTGGAATCACGATAAAGTTTGGCAACCTGACCTCCAGAAAATAAGAAAAGGCACAAAGTCAGACAAGAAACAGCATACAGTTCCTAAATAGTTAACCATTCAACTATCTTCCTGCTCAATGCTTTTACAGAATGTTGATAATTAACATTACCTAAGTTACTTTTTGGATGAACAAATGACCATTTGGTAAAAATTTCTGTCATAATTTTCAGTCAAAATTGTTTATAATTTGTCAAATAAACCCTCCCACATAAGAAGCACTTAGGCTGTTGATTTAAACATAATAAAACTACACAATTTTAAATTCTAATGATTACATTCAGATTGAAGATAAAAAAAATGTGAACAATCACAGCACACTTGACAGAAACAGTACTGCATTTTTCCCCACAATGCTAGTACTTACAATATTCTAAATCATTAATTCCCGCAAGATGATGCATATTTTAAGACATTACTATGCCAGTAAATAAATATTTTACAAATACTTTGAGACTTCAGAATGCACATGTTAATATCAATATTGAGAGGGATGAAACTTACAATATTCATTACACTCAAAATGTAGTGCTCGATATCTTTGCGACCATGATATCCCACCATCATTTTGTCTGCTACTACCAGCGTCTCCACAAACCGCTCAAGGCTTACTGATCTCTTCTGTCGACTATGACTACTTAATGTGTCATTGACAGGAAGTGAAGTTGGAAAAGCAGATCCATCACTCATCCACCAAGGTTTACTGCTTCTTGTGAGGTCTTCTAGGAACCAAAATAATTAAACACTTCAGAGGAATCGCTAGTAAAACTCATTCAAATGCAGCTGTTTTAAGTTGAGATCATCTTTAAGACTAAAAACAACTCTTTCTCAAGGCAAGGAAAATGCAAGTTTATCATCTTTAAATTTAAAATACCTCATAAAAAGGAAAAACAAGTTTGCTTCAAGTTCTGATATTATGAACGCTCCTTAACTTGGCTTAGCACTACAAATCATCATCTTCTCTCAACGTATCTAATCCTGCACATCTATTTTATGAAAGATCACTTATAGTTAACCATGAGCTCATTTCAAAACTTTAAGGATAAGAATGAAATGGCTGTAATACTAGGAAATAAAAACATATTGGAAAATTAAAAAAAAATAATAATCAAAATTAAGGTTAAAGGTATGAAGACGTACTAAGGAATTAAACAGTTTGAAAATGCAATACCATCTTTATGCAAGATATGGTTACTACAGACATGAAATTATCAGAGAAACAAACAGTACATACTTTCTTAAAACTTGAACTCATGTCCTCAGAGCAAAATTGAACATCCCTTCCCTGCAAAATGGGCACTTTAATATTAAATATCCCTTTTTCACAAAGATCCATGCAAATCTCAAGTTCCAGTTCAATAAAGCATAAAATAAGCTGAAATCACACAATAAGGACTTCAAAATATTTAAGGTTATGGATGGTAGTTATGGATGAACTTAAGAACACTAAAAGGTAGGTACATTTTTAACTGACTGAATGAGACTGCTCAAGTGATCAACACCAGAGATGCAACCTTACCTCTCCCACAATTGGTTCAGCTAAGGATAAGCTGAAATGTGTCCAATATATTCTGTGAAAAAGCAATGCTTTATGCAGTCCAACTAAACCAGCTGTTTCACCACAAAGCATGTATGTTCAGGACAAAACCAGGAATACTTCAGTAGTCCCACTGTTGCATAATATTTTGAGTGCACAGAGTTGGCTTTAAAAGGCCCATTATTTTAGGAAAGTTGAAAAGAGGAAATAATCTGGGCAGCTGACAAAAATGCCAGAAGTAAAATTATCCTCATTTTACAATACTACAATTCAATAATCCTATACCCATCCTAAAAAATAATATCAAGTAATAAATTCTGAAGAGGATTTCAAAAACCAACATCAAGATTTCTACTAGCTCTTATCCCTATTCTAGCAAGTTCAAAGTTGATCTAATTGTTTAAAGATTTTCATCTCACCTGAGTAGTGATTTAGAATCACAGAATTACTCAGGTCCTTAAAGATCATTGAGGTCCAACCATGAGAAGAATTTAAGAATTCTAAAGACCATTTAAGAATATTTAGAATTTTATCTGGCAACTTCTGTGGTAAATTTTAAAAAAATAAAAAATAAAAAAATCAATGCCTCAAACAGTAAATGGTGCTATCTGGGGATTTCTAACGCTCATAAAAATGCCAAGTACTTTATACATGCAATATTGCTTCATATTCATTCATAACTTTTCACTCAAAGATGCAAATCTGTTCTAAACGTTTGAAAAACCAACGAGCTCAGAAAACTTTCACATAAAAAACAAGTAACGATTCTTCTGGACTCATCCTGACACCATCTTTCAAAACAAAGGTCTCAGAAGACTTCAAGAAAACAAACATTTCTCCTTTTCTTATCAGATGATAAGGTGGCTTCAGCTGATTTCAAAGTAACGGGAAAGTTGGAAATAATCCTGGGTACTGACACCTCAGGATCTATCAGTTTTCATGACATTTAATTTAAAAACACTGAACAATGCTGACTAAACTTTCTTTAAAAAAAGACTGCAAACTTTCATGGAAAATATTCTGACAAAAATATTTTTGTTTTAAATAACATAATTACTCCTAGATTAAAAACCTTACATCAACACTGAGCATATCTACTGGGAAATAAAATAAAACAAGGGTGGGGGAAGAGGAGAGATCAGAAAAGCAATGTAATTAACCCCAAAGTAATGAGTACAAAAGCAGGAAATTAGATTGTAAACTGTAACTGAAAAGAAATCCAGATGCACAGAGAAAGAAATGGGTGTAGGCGGAGTACACAATAACGGTACCCAAGTTTTAAGTCAGTCCTTCAAAGGTACTAGATGGGAGAAAGGAGGAGAGATGAAAGAACATAACACACAAAAACAAACCGAAGGTGATCTAAAAACCACAATAGCAAACTATTTTAATATTCTCACAGTTGCATCTTACATAAGTGAAAACTTACATACTGCTTTTTCTTAATATTAAGCAACCTCATTTAGCGCATATATAAGCATTTTTTTTTTAGAATATGCTGACTGTAGCATTTGGCATGAATAAAATCATGACATGAGGCAGCATGTAGTAGTACTATCCCTAAATAATCTGCCACTTTGCAGGTTTCACATGTCAATTTTTATTGTTTCTCAATCATACCCAGTCTGTAAATACACCACATTTTCCCTTGGTCATTTTGTGGTTTGTTTTTTCTTAAATTATGGTAGCCAAAACAGGTAAAGAAATTTTATTCATACTTCCAAGAAAACAGAATTTCAATTCCAGACAAAAATAGAAGCACATGGCTAATCTGCAGAAAAGCTATTTCTTAGAATTGTGCAAATACAAAAAAAAAAAAAAAATTTTTAAAGGACCATTAAAAGTATTTCACAGCTTCAACATGCTGCACACTATTAGACATAAGCAAAAAATAAATATTTCAATAAGCTATGCAGACAAACAAGAACACAACAGAATATTTCATAATATGTTTTTAATTGAAAAAGTAATAATGAGTACCTCTAGCATGTCATCTAAATATTTATATCATAATTCCAAGCTATAAAGCACTTGACATCATACCTGCCTACTCCACAGCTTTAAGATACCTTTTCTTTGAAAAACCAACTAGATGGCAATACTAGTTTGGATGGAAGAATTTAAAAAAAAAAAAAAAAATAGTAACTCTTCTACAAGCTGATCCTGCAAAGCATTCTGCAAGATAATCCAGTGACCTCAAATCCCACTGAAGCAAGTTGAATTTAATCAATTTCTTATCAAGGTCTTAATGATTTCAACTCTATTTAATAAAACAATTAACTTGTTGACAGTATGTACATGAAATATTATTTAACATTTTTTTAAAACGTTCTCATGTCTAACTGATTAAAAATCAAATTTAGGTTATGTGAATCAGCTATAACTCAATTCCATATTCTGATCTGAAAGTAAACTACCTGTAAAATAGAGAATTGTTCTTACCCTAATATTCCCAGCTTTTATTTTGTACTGATCACTGAAATTCTATTACATGCTATGAAGCAGTCCAACAAATTCTGCTCATGTTTTCACCAAACTCTCTGCATTACTTTCTGCCTATTACTGTAATTTTTCTTCTAAAGGTCAGAAATAATACTCTCCTTGTCTCTCTCAAAATAAAATCTTCACTGCTTTCTCAGTAAAGAACAGACATGGTAAACTTAGGTGTAGTTTACAGTGGTAGAAACTTCACAAAATAGAATGTGAATAGTGGCACTTCTACACAATCATATTCCTCCTAGCATACTATACTGGCAACAACATTCTGAAGGTAAAACAAAAGCAGTTTTTCAGACAAAATGAAAGGTATTCTTCCAGAGATGCAGTCATCATTTTATTAAATCTGCATTAAAGTTTTGTTGTTGTTGTTTAACAAAGAATTGGACAGTTCTCAACTTCCAAAAGTTATTACCTGTCTTTATTTCTAATATCTGAAAGCTGGGAAACCAAAAAACAATTTTTGCTTCTTAGATACTCTGGGGATGCTCAGAATGCCAAGCCCTTATGGGAAAAAGCGCTTAAACAGTGCTTGGAAAATAAGTTTAAAAGGTTTGGTAGTCAGACAACAACATTAAAACAGCATGTAATCTGAAAAAGTATGATCTTGCAGTACTGGGGAGAACAAAGTTTGTCAGAAATTTTCACTGAGTTAAAACAGTATAAACACAAGCAAGAAGAGAAGAAAGTGAAGTAAATTAGCATGAGTAGTGTCAGAATTGCAAAAAAGATTTTGTATTTTAGTGTTTAAAGGTCTCAGGTTGTGACAAATATGAAAACTCAGAAATAGCAGAACAGCTTCTCCAAGGATAATGGCAGCAGCAAATATGGAGGGAAAAAAAGCAAAAAGAGGTACAGATGCTAAGGATTACTGAACGTTTTAAAAGAAAAACCTCATGCAAAGCTCTGATCAACTTACGATCCATAGCATAGGTACTGTCAGAACAGTTAGACAAAGCAAAACCAAACTACCTGCCACTGCTTTACCTTTACTTCGAGGAGAAATTATCTCCCAAGCACTAACAGAAGGTAAGATCTGACTGCTGTCAATATCCTTTCTTTTTCTAAATCCTAATGGCAAAAGATGAACTGTAGTACATTTTGCAATCCCTTCCACTTATTTCAACAGATTTGTGTGACTGCATTCCCTACAAAATGAAATAAAAAGATAGATGCTTCACAGATGTTTACTGCAAAATGCATAAACTGGAGCATCTGCATACATTAGTGTTCTTATTTTACAATCAGCACATAGCAGTCGTTAGAATTGTTTCATAATAAAGCATGTACATGAAATCATGCATCCTAAACTAAAACAGAAGCAGCATACAAAGTTTGACATGCACTAGACAGTTAGCTGGACTACTCAGGAAACTTCCACAAACATGAGCCTTTTCAGACAACACCTGCTGTCAGTTTAGTAAACCAGCTAGGTTAAAATTTCCGAAAGAAGATGAAAGAAGTTGCATCAAAAAAAAGGGAAGGGAAGGGAAGGGAAGGGAAGGGAAGGGAAGGGAAGGGAAGGGAAGGGAAGGGAAGGGAAGGGAAGGGAAGGGTTATATTCTTTTCATTTTTAAGGAATTTGCCAGCTTGTCCTATGCACTGAATCTCATAGAAGACTATTGTCTAGGACAATACTTTTAAAAACAAAAAAGAGGTAAACAAGAAGGCTAAAATATTTTTCCTGTTATGTAAAAAGACACTATTTTAGTGCTGTAAACCTATAACAACTGCTCATTTACTCCAAGCTGTTCTCAAAGAATAGTTTCATTACAGTTTAAGCAAACCATTTCAAAATTAAGAGTACTTACAGAGTGTTTCAGAGTACTTACAGAGTGTTTCTGTAGATGTTAGAACTGTGCTTTGCAAGAAAAAAATCAAAATCCTACAATCCTTCCTGTTAGACACATACTCAACTACTACAGAATAACATCAACACGCTGACCCAAACAGTAAGAGTTTAAAAACTCTAAATCATAAACTCCTGAAAATGAGAAAGATACAGACTCCAGCTCCAGCTGTACTAATAATCATAGTTGTAACATATTCACTACACATAGAGTTCCCTCAAATGAGATGAAACACACGCTACAGACTGAGCTATAACACAGTCACTGAAGTCATGCCCTCCTACTTAGAAGTAAATTTTGAGAAAGTCAGTGATCATTAATACCACTGTACACAAAGAAATAAAACAAGATTTACTCCCAGTGCTTTATTTGTAAAATGACACTGTATTCTTGATAGGAATCTTGATGTGAAGCAACTTTGTAACGGGGCACATTGTATCACCCAAAAGGAGTCTTCTTACTGCTACATCGTCTATAGTACCTTACCGGTGAACCAAGGAAGACTTAAAAATACAACTTAATACATTTTAGAAGCTATGATAACACAACTGATACTCATACTTATTTACCTGAGACTCCACAGCGACTATGATCATACCGAAGTTGCTTGTGCATGGTAGACTTTTTGTATATGACATGGGGATGACCATTCTCATAACTGAAGTTACTTGAATTAGCTGTTATATTCTTTAAAGGCTCAATGAAATACTCTTCATCTTCTGTAGCAATAACTCCATGCTTAAGAAGGAAAAAAAGTAAATAAATTTATGTTGTCTTGCAAATTTTTATGTTAAAAAACTTAAAATGAAGTAATATTTGACTATCCTTTATTTCTTTTAAGAAGTAAGTCAACATTAAGTGCATGATTCAGTTAATTTCCAGTGTTTAGTGGGAAGAAGAGGTAAATGCTGATAAGCAACACAATACAGAGAGAACAAAATAGCATTGCTTTACTTCTGGAATTCATCCCTACCTTTTTTTAGTGAGTGTGGTAACAAAGCAAGACAGATTCTCAGTACAGGACGGATAGCTGTTCAAAGTCTTTTTTTCCAAAACCACATGATTGAAAGCCATTAAAGTGACACCAAGCCAAAACCATCTTGCCCAAAGGGTGAGTGAGCTCAATGTTCCTCTATGATGCCACATAAATGCTTAATAAAGTAAAAACTGCATGAAAAATTAATTTCAGGAAATACAATTTAGAGAAAAACTTTGGCAATTTACATTGATATGCCAAGTTCTGTTAATATCAATTACCTCAGACTACACGATCTACAAAGCACTTATTCCTTAACAGATCTCACCACAAACCTCTGGTAGATCCAACCTGATGCAGACCAACCTGATGCAGACCATGTACTCAACCTTATTCTCTTGTTGAAAATGCACTTCTTTCCCTTCACACTGCAGGGCAGAATGGCAGATATTCTATTCACATAACTTTCATATTTGTGAATTCAGTTTCTTCTAAGCAAGAAAGTGGTTGATGGAGGAAAAGGGAAATTTCAAACCAACTATTTAACTGCCTGAATCTTCAGAGATTAAAACTAAACTTCAGCAAAAAATCCAGTTTTGGGATCATCTAGGGTACAGAAATATTGAAGAATAAGCCCAACAGAGACTCCTACACTTATAGTCTCTAACTAAAAAAACTCACTAATTCTACCTAGGAAATTGCGAATGTATTACTTTTCTATTATAGAAGAAATAACTACTGATCAGTAGTTTCAGTGGAAACTCTAAATTCTGCATTCATATTCTGATTTGATCAGTCACAAATCAATGGAGATACCATTAAAGCCACTGTGAAGACTGTTCCCATAATCACATAATTGCAGGGTTGAAAGGGACCACAAGAGATCAGTGAGTCCACTCCTCTGCTAATGCAGGTATCTGCATTAGGCCACTGGTCACTGCACAGGCCATTGTCCAGATGGATCATGAATACCTCCAAAGAAGGAGACTCCACAACCTCTATGGGCATCCTGCTCCAGCTCTGTCACCCTTACCATGAAGAAGTTGTTCTTCATGTATGAACTTCCATGTTCAAGTTTCAGGCCATTACTCCTTGTTCTATTGCTACACATCACTGAGAAGAGCCTGGCCTCATCCATTTGTCTCCTACCTCCCACTAGATATTTATAAACATTTATCAGATCCCCAGGCTGAACAAACCCAGGTTACTCAGCCTTTCCTCATGCAGGAGATGCTACAGGCCCTCGATCATCTTTGTGGCCCTCCACTAGATTCCTTCTAGGACACCCCTGTCTTTTTTAAATTGGGAAGCCCAGAACTGGACACAGTACTCCAGATGTGGCCTCATCAGGGCAGAAGAGAGGGGGAGGATCACCTCCCCCGACCTGTTGGACACAATCTTTTTAACACATCCCCAGGCCTTATCACAGAATCATAGAATTGCTGCTGGTTTGAGGCCAAGCTGGTTCACCAGGACTCCCAGGTCCTTCTCTGTAGAGCTCCAGCAGGTCAGCCCCTACCCCTACTGATACGTGTAGTTATTCCTCTCCACATGCATGACTCCACATTTGCCTTTGCTAAACCTCATCAGATTCCTCTCTGCCCAACACTCCATTTGGTGCAGGTACCACTGAATGGCCTTCTGATGTGTGAGCCACTCCTCCCAGTTTTGTATCACCAGCAAACTATCACAAACTGTTGTCATCCCTTCATCCAGGACACTGATGAAGATGTTGAACAAGACCAGATGCAGTACTAACTCTTGGAGTACACTGCTAGCTACAGGCCTCCAATCAGACTCTGCACTGCTGATCACAACCCTCTGAACTCTGCCAGTCAACCAGTTGTCAATCCACCTCATCATACATACATCTATTCCACACTTTCTAAGTTTCATAACACTGATGCTGTGGGAAACAGTGTCAATCACCTTGCTGAAATCAAGGTACACAACATCCAATGTCTCTACCCTATCTACCCAGTCAGTGGTGACATCAAAGAAGGCTACGAGATTTATCAAGCATGATTCCCCCTTGGTTATCTCCTGATAGCAACCTTATTCTCTTCAGTGCTTGAAAGTAACATAAGAAAACATCCCTATCTACACCCTACTTCATAATTATTTGAGGAATTAAGATATTCAACACATACCTCACAGGCAATTCAAGCTAACATTTACATTAATGTTATCTGAACACTCCTAACTGTGCAATGTGCAGTAAGATTATTTCAAACTACTTCTAAAAGGTTGTAAAAATCACCCTATCACTTCCATTAGTTTGTTGGTGTTGTTGTTTTAAAGGGTTTTTGTTTGTTTGTTTGTTTGTTTCTGTATCGACACCTCCAGGGTAACCAGTAAGACCACGTGCTCTATAGATGATCCAAATTTCCCAAACCTGTTTCTAAGATCACTGTACTTTTGGTCAGACCTTTTCTGCTGCTGTTTTGTACATCAGCTCTCTGCTGTTCTTCACTTCTGGAATAACCAGAATTCAGTAATAACATAGACCTTACAGAATAAAAATGCCTGTATAACACTTCAGAAAGAACTGTGTTTTAACAATATAATCCCATCATATATTTTAAAAATATATGTATGAAAACACAATTCAGTTTTCAATTACATGCTTTTTAGTGCCTATAGTGACTATGGCATTAAGTGTTCCTCTTCAGTGATATTTTTCATTATGTACTCAAGTATTTACTCAAGAACTAACATGAAGGCCTGTATACACCTGGACACCAAACTTTCTCATAATGCCTCAATATTTGGAATCTACAATATTACTAAGAAAATAGGTTACTTAATGGCTGCTTAAGCAACCTTGAAAATATAAACCAAAATGTAACTAGGTTTGCCAGATGTGTAGAAAGAGCCTTGATAATCTGGACTGCATCCAGCTAGGCTGTCAGACATCTGGGTTCAAGTGAATCCTGAGCCACTATAAGCTCTGGTATTATATTCCCATCAGAAAATAGAGTCCTGCAGCCTTTCTAGCCAACACCATCAGGCTGTGTGCTTTGTGCCAGGTCTGAAGAGACAGAGGTACCATTCAAGCCATGGCCCTGTCTCTACAACAGAGAGGTCTTTAACTGTACTTGAGTCTGGCTAGGTAAACAAGCTTTAAAGTGGTGAGATGACAAAAGAGGGAACAAGTAATTTCAGATGATATAAACAACACTAATAGCAGTACTAATTTTCTAAGCAAATTGTGTTTAAGAGAAGCAAAATCTATTACGAAGGAATGCAAAATTACAAATGCAGTTCCTTTAGGTACAAGCAGTGAAAAGGCTAGGTGAGTATCACCAAATTTCCTATGTCAAATCATTATCTCATCTCAGCTGACCAAACATTATTCTGGATTTAAAAATATAAATATAAGTGTTAGTTAACCCAAGGAATCGCAAATAAATTTTAACTGACACCTGCTACCAGGTAATCAGAATATACATGCAGTCTGACGATCAACATTGGAAAATCACGTGCCCTGCATATAGCTGCAAATGCACTTCCCATAAGCCCTGCATACATAACATGTATTAACTTCCCTTGCTAACCTAACCATTATTCCATTATTAATTCAACAACACCATCTGCATCAGTTTAATGTGCATGAATTTTAAGAAATGTTTGTAAATTTGCACGTAAGAAATACCCATCCCAGTGAATGCCAGTATTTATTTTGAGTTTAGAAAATGCATATGGCTAGAGATGTTTCCACTCTATATGCATTCCATAATGCACTATTAATAAATTGAGGGAGTAACACTATTCTACTCAAAACAACATTCTAAATCTCCTTTTTGTCTTATCTTTTGTTTGAGCAAAACAATATTTCAGTTGAAAAGAGGGACTGAAATAGACTTATGAAGCATCAAAAGGAATTATATGTATTAAAGCCATAAAAGAAATTAAACGTGTTGGCAGAGTTGGACTTTTTTGCTTGTTTTTGTTTGTTCTTTTCAGTGCCATAGCACTTAAAACAGTCTGTGAATTAAACATCTGCTCCAAAATGTAAGAAACATCATTAAGGAACGACCAGAAAAAGGTTGTGAGAAAATATCATGAATTTAAGAAATAATGTATGTCCCAAGTAAGTTACTGAAAGAAGCATTCTCAAGGCTATTATCTAAAACAGATTGTTTGAGGTCCTATGTTATCCAACCCCACCACAGACTGCCAACTCCTGCTAACATATATAAGGTCTGGATCCAGCAGTTTGACATGCTCAGACAAATCTGTGAATCCACGTGGAGTTCCCCTGAAGTTGTAAAAAGGAATCTGTTTGTGTCAGACTGCCTAGATGGGGCCTCACCTAACTTCTGACAGGGGATGTCCATCAGCTACAGAAGTGAGAGTTAACATCAGTTAAAAATTTAATTACAGAAGATAAAGCCTCTTCCACATTCAAAGTGCTTCTTTTTTCAAATTTCTGCCTGTTTTTAACCTTTCCAGACATTATATTTAATATATATTAAATATTAATATGTTAATTAAATATTAATATGATTTAATAATAATTTAATATTGATATAATTTAATATAATATTAAAAACAAAGTAGAAGTAAATAAAACTTCTCAAAAACTTTCAGGATTATTCAGTAAGTCTACAGCTGGCTGTACACTTCAGTGTAGCTTTATATCATTGGAAAAAGGCTGCACTCCCTTTACATGTTCTTTAGGATGAAACAATAGTGATCTGGCCTGATACAATACATCATGACATTTTAAAACTAGGCAATTACAGAGCTGCACTGAGGAGAACTCAAAAGACAGCAGCCTAGAATATTTATCTTTTTTGATACCTCTGACCTTTTAAATTACCTTGTAAATTATACATTTGTATACGATTCAAAAATATCATTATATGCAATTTATGATCTACACATTTAGATGCTTTGTTTATGATAGAATCAGCTTCCAAGCAAGCTTATTTAAAAATATGAAGATTTATCAGTGTACTCATACATACACTGATTTTGAAATAAATCAAATAAACATGAAGTCTGTTGACTATGTAAGATCACGCTTCTAGACAGTTCTTGGCCCTTCTTTCTCTTATCTACTTGGAGACATCTGTGCTACCTAGAACAAATATTATTTCATGAATGGAACTTTATGTGCCATTGAAAAATTTGGCACCTTACGTTAAATATTTCCTTGGGAATATTGTAGATACAAAAAGATATTTAATCTCTAATTCACTTTCTTAGCAATCACTATTTTTTAAGCATTCTGAAGTACTTCCCTCTATTGAGCTTGTCAGCTCAAAAGAAGAAAACCCACTGCCGTGGAAGACTTGTCTGACACTCAGTTACAGGCTTTGACACCTGACAGCAGACAGAGATAGGGAAGTACAAGCTTCATTTCTGCTAAACTTCACTGTTACTCAATCCAAAATTTTTCTTCAAGACTTGCTCCCCTTGGAATCAGACAAACCTCTTTTCTGTAAGGTGAAATTCTCTATTCAGTCCATCTACCACACTTTCTTATTTCAAATTCTTTAGGATTACATACTCAGCTTAGGCAGTTCCTCAGCTACTACTGTCTCAGCCCCACTGACTTACACCCAACGCCCAAACGCCTCAAAACACCACTCTCTGTAAAGTCTTTCGTGAGTTGACCAATGCTGCAATCCATTTACATGTAACAGTTGCTATAGTAAATACGAGTTCGGGAGCCAACAAGCCTGACAGACAAGACCTTCAATTTTCTCACAACTGCTCACTGGATTACAGAGCATTCCTCAAAACTTGAGACAATTTTTAGTATAATCAGGGCTCAGCAGATGCAAACTGCTGCAGTGAAACTTCAGTAGTAGCCTGTAATTCTAGGGAAGAAAAGCTTAAACAGGAAATGGTGAGAGGGAAGTTAACTAATGGCTCATCCGTTCTATGATAACACAGAGAAAGCCCTACTTGCACTGGTGTTCTACAGAGTCATACAACTTACATTAATTAAACCATGGTCTCACCTGCTCACCCTGAAATTTGACTCCTCTGGCAATATGAAACCTAGCAGGGAAGTGAAATAAACAGAATACTTAAATTCTGCTTATGAGCAGCACTCATCGTTTAAGACTATTACTTGTTTTAGAGTTACGAGTAACTTAAAATTATTGCCTTTTGGACAGATGCTAATCAAAAACTACGCAAAACACGATACTGTTAGTCTCTTACACATCAAAAATAAGACTAAAAAAATGCAACAAATGTTTTGAACACAACATTTTCTCAACTATCGTTAACTCTAAAACAAACAATAGTGTCCTGAATATTTAAAGTGCTACTTGCTTTATTAAACATGTTATAAAGCTGCTGGTTAGAACAAGATATTTGCCAGTAGGAATCATTTAAAAATAACTGATGGATTTACCTGAATTTAGTGTAACTCCTACAAGCACTGCCCTGGTACACCCTGTCAACACAATGACATAGTAATTTTTTACAGCAGAAGATCATAATGAGTCCAGCCAACCACCGCACCTGCTTGAGGGATCCCTGCTCCTTTAAAAGAAAGCCTTATGAGACCACTGTTGCTTTTGGAGCATGACAAAAACCTCGACTGCATATGACCTAACCTTTCTAGCAGATGCAGTAGACACCTAACACTTGCAGTCCCAAGAAGCATGACCATGAAGGACTCAAAAGTCCCATTCATGGTGTGCCCAAAGATCTAAGTCTGCCTTAATACAAAGTAGGTATACCGGGAGAAAACACTTAAAAGTTGATGACAGCTATAGGCACTGAAGATGATAACTAAACAGCACTCCACAGTGAAATTAACTTTCAAACACAGTTAGATGTACAACACATAAAACTATGGAACAACATATAGCTTCACACCAGCCAAGCAGCTGGTTGAGAACAAGGAAACATGACACTGATACACAGCTCCAGTGAGGCCAACCAGTATGTCTCTCAATGGGTAAAAATGCTGGAGATCAAGGCATGCAGATGCTTTTTTTTTTTTTTTTTTAAGAAGTGAATCCTGAAAGCAACAATTTTCTCTTCAAAGTATTTTTAGCTGAAAAGAACTAAAATACAAATTGATCCACTAAATTAGCAATAGAAGTTCAAGCAACTGCATCATAAGCATTATTACATGGGAACTACAAAACTGAATTAAATTATGGTACTGAATTCAGACCTATCAGCTGCATTAAGAAAACTGTGATAACGCATTCAGGAGCGTTACATTTTAACTATGGTTCTTCAAAAGTGCTCGCTCATCTCTATAAATCTCTATTCAGCTATTTTCCTCAAGAGTAATCCAGGTTAACCAAGACAGCCAACAATGTTTGTTGTCCCTAGTACTATCTAGATCTGAAACGGCAGGCTTTTGTCTACAAAAAACATTCTCATAGTTCTCTAGCACTTGTAAAGGTTAAAAAGGAAACAGTTTAGCAAGGTTGTAGCCTTTTCTCTTTATCCCCTCATTTACCAATTAGTTCGATCTGCTTACCATTAACAAGATGGACCAATGTTCTGCTATATAAAAATTGAGTGAATAACTGCAGTATATATTTTTACTAAAAGAATTACTGAGCTCTTGATTTAGTACTTCCTAGTTATGCTCTTCTACTTAAGTATTTTACTACTCGATAGCAGTAAGTTTTTAGTTTTTTCTTTTGTTTTCTAATTTCTGTTGTGAAGAAAAGCTTTTGCCCCATGCAAATACTATTGTCATGATCAAGAGAAGAACAATAAAATCTGAGAACAAAATTTCTAACCCTGCTTTAAATGCAACTGTTGATAGAATACTTTCACAAAGGATGATACTTGCAAATAATCTACTTTTCTGAATTTACACCAACGATGACTTCTACGGCAAGAAACTCATCCTCCTTGTCAAAATCAGTAAACCCTAATTCTCAAAAAAAAATCAATGAAGCATACAGTTCAATCAACATCTTACTGAATAGATCCAGCATCCTAAAGGAATAACTGCTACCCTCTCCCTCCCCAAGTCTCCAACATTTTGATAACCTGTAATGATCCCACAACAGACCTAATATTGCAGCCCCAGTGCAGACACTGTAAACACTTAAGGTACTGTCTGCAAAGGACTACAAAATTGGGTCCTAGTACTTACAATTAAGCTTATTACAATTACAATTAAACCGATGACTTTTCCCCAGGACCCAGATCGGGTTTTACGGGCTTGCTGCATCTTCTGTCTGTTTGCTCCTCACAGGAACTCAAAAGAACTGAAAGATATGCCAATTAAGTCCTTCTGTATTTTAAAAGCGGTAAACGCACTACTATTCTAGAATATACAATGTGCACTTACCAGACCATTGCAGTTGCTTACAGCCACTTTAGTTGTAGTGTGTTGGTCTTGCAAATATCCCGTGTAATGACAGTGGTCTAAAAAATCATGCTTCCACTGAGGACCATCTTTCCCCCAGTATTCCACTGTAAAATGTCTGGACACCAAATCTGTGTTAAGAGTCAGGTTTAAATGAAAGTGCTTGCCATAGGCAGAAAGTTTAAAAAATAATTTAGATGCTGCCAGTTCTTGATCGTAAGGGTCTGCGCTCCTCCTCCTTCTCGAGGGTTTAACATTTTTCACAGTAAAGCTGAGGAAGGCTCCATTTTGATCAACCCTTATTGGGATTGTTAGCTGGTAGTGTTCAAGGTAAGACAGGAATTCCTCTTTGTAATCACAAGGTAAGACAGTCCAGGCAGTGCACATAGAAGAGAAGAAAATATAACAGGAAACAACAAGTAGTAAACATAAACCATAACTGGCGAAATCCCATCATCCGCATCAGTAAAAGATGCGGATGATTTTATCATCAGATAAACACAAGGTGCAGAGCTTTACTAAAGAAAACAAAATGCTTTTTTCTTTCTTTCTATGTTAAAAAAATGTGTTCTGTTTCCTAATAATCAGATAACACAGGGAAAAAAAAAACCAAACAAACACCATTTTGAATAACGTACCTTACCCTATTCACACAAAATAGGAAAACATGGGGCTAAACTCTACCTAGAAGCACATATTCTTTCTAATGATATCATTCAAAGACAAATGCTATTGCATTCACTGCATAATAGTAAAGTATTATATTGCAACATATCTAAAAGACTCTTCTTGCCATTAAAAGTCTATAAATGCTAATGGATTAATGATTAGATCCTTATTTCCTAGCTTAAAAACATATGAATGACTGTATGGTAAGCCTTTAAACTATTATGAAGTATTAAATACATCATTTTACCAATTTAATTTGTAAGATTTTTGTGCAGTGAAAACAAGAAAAAAAAATCAATGTAATCAAACATTCAAGGCAATGAATCATGATCAAACTAGGACTGCAGCCTATATGATCTCATTAATAATATAACCATGGCTTTGAAAATATTTCCTAGATGTAAAAATTGATGATTCTTGCTATCTGTAGAGGTCAGGCTCCTACCTTGAGAACTGTATGAAAGCCTGCTGTCACTGTGAAATTCCGATGAAACCATGACTAGGCTCAGAATCCATGTCCACGTCTTCCAAAAAATTTCCATAATTTAGAAAAACAGAAAGCTTTTTTTTTCCTCTCTCTCCTTGGAGGGCTACCTGTGTGCTATAGGGTTAACCCCACTCCAGAATTGCACCATAACATGTATATTTATTTTATACTATTGGATGTTCCACTTTTTGACTGGTATTCTTTTCCAACAACTTTCTTCTATATCTGCAGTCATTTTCTCAATTCAAAATAAGCACTGCAAGATTCCTTAAGATATCATTAAGATGTTAGAGTGGATAGCTACTGAACTTGCTCCATTTCTTTTCCTGAAAAACAAAACAAAATTAGTCAACTTAATTTTTCTACTAAAATAGATCAACCCTGCAAAACATTAAGCTACTGTGATGTATAATGCAAAATAAACCAACAATTACTGCCATTAAGATCCAAGGTCACAATTTTAAACAACAACAAAAAAAACCCCACATGAATTACCATTAACCTCGAACAAGTAGTTCAACACAGCTTAAGACGCACAATTCTGCTTCATGTTGAACAGATAAAAGGAATTTTAAAGTTTCTTTTTGCTACAATACTGTGATCAGATTTGTTCCACCTATATAGTCAATGCACCATACCAATTGATTTCAGCAGAAAATAACTAGACTCAAAACACTGGGAGACAAAGGAAGAACCTGGGAAAGAATCCAGAGTGCAGTTATCCGATCTTTCTGCAGCATGTATTTTGTTATTACTTGGGCCCTGGTTCTGCTTATGCAGGCAGAATTTTCATTCACTAAAATGGGAAAACTGCACATTTCTAGCATCAGAGAAACAACCTCACCATTTACATCCTAAGATTTCCAACATCTGTTATCTAAAATGCTTAGTATATAAAAACTACAATTGGATGTAGTAGAATATGTTCTTATTTTCATTTTGCAGGTCATGAGACTGACAGAATACTGAACTTCCCACTCATGCCCACCATCATTTCAAACACTTCTGCAACAATACTGAAAAGCAATTCTAGCTGTTGATATGGATTGAATGGAAGGTCTATACAGTCACCTAACAGTCCAGTGTCATGGACTGTTGTCCACACAACCATGCATTGTGTCAGCTGGTACTAACCAACTCACTTGAGCACGTCCACGAACTTGCACATAGAACCAACTCCACAGAAGCAGGCAGTATTGAAAGAGAACACCTGAGAAGGTGTTCAAAAACAGATTTCCAAGTACACGCAGTCACTTACACGTGTACCAGATACATTTGCCTTTCTGAAATTCCGGGAGCAATTTACAATTCATTCAGACAGATAAAACACCCTGCAGTCAGTGGACTATTCGTAAAATTTAAAGAGTTGTGTGTCAACTTGAGAAAAATCAACATCACATAAATCCTCTTTACTAACATTATAGTGAATATCAGAAAACTCCTTAGCCAAATGGAAACGGACCCAATTATTAACAGTAAATGAGGTCAACCTAACCATTAGTATGCCCACTTTAAAATTTTTTTCAAGAGAGCACTCAGCATTTAATCAGGTTTGTAGGAGGAATAAAAGATACTTTACAAGCACAGTCTGGACTAGAATTTATTTTTTTTCCCCCCTGAGGAAACAAAATGACTTAGTGATGCCATTCACAAAGGGCAAGGCCTTAGATGATATTAATAAAATCTCTAATCTGACCTTCCATGTAAAACCTTCATTTCCTAGCTAATATTTAATTACAGCTTTTAGCCTTTTTCAAGTTCTGAATAGAAATAATTAATCACATGCTCCTCAGTTACACTAGTAAAATAGAGAGTATGCCTTACTTTCAATATAAGAACACCCACCTTCAAATTCCACTGAATCTTGCTTTACATGACTGCTAGTGGGCTTTCTTCTCCTTGCATAGATAGTCACAGTCTGATACAATAACGTCTTGACATTCCCTGATAAGCAGCTCAAACTATTCAGTTTACCTCACTCCGCCAATGCAGTTTCCAGATGTCTAATTAATTCTGCTGCTTTTTTCTGAATCTTTTCCAATTTGTCAGCAACTCTTTGCATGCACAGACATCAGAACTGGACACTAGTCCAGTAATGGCTCATTACTGCCATATATAGAGATAACATTGCCTCACAGCTTTTACTTAGGCCAACAAATAGTAATGGGGAACTCACGTTCAGTCTGTTAGGCTGATAATAAATTACACTAGCACTAAGATCTCCTGAAACTGTAATGCCCACAGGGCTCAGTAGTACTGAATACAGTAAACAAACTGGTGCCCATTATCACCGGTCCACGTTAAACCTTGACAACATCCAAGTGTCACCTCAGTCTGGAATCTTTTCAGGGGTCTGAGTCACATTGATCCTCACACAAGAAAATCTCATTTCACATCAAGCTCACTGAAAGTTCTGCTGAAACTTCCAGCCTCCTTTCCAAACGCATTATAGACAGTTCATACATTGGTACAAATACAACAGGTGCAGCAGTATCAATGGTCTGGCTTAAGAAATTGTGATACAAATGATAAAGCACACAAGTAACCCCAGACAGAACACTTACATCCAGTATCTGTACCCTTTTCCTTTCTCTGGCAATATATTCCTTCCTACCTATGCAGCGTGCGTTCACATTCCATTTTGTCAGCGTTAAGCTTACAGAAGGAAGCCTTTCCTCTGCCTCATGACTGCACTATGCATGCATCCATGGTAAGCACACGCATGGCTCTGTAAAGTTTACTTCCAATTACTGTTCCTGCTTAACAGTAGGAGTTCTGTCAGGAAGAAGTGCAAGATGCGTTTCACAGTGCTGCTGACACAAGTGGTGCTGCGCACCAGGATGTCTGTGCAGGCACTTGTGACAGAGAGGCAGTCTTGCCACCAAGCCTTGAGGCTCCTACTCACTGAAACTCAGCACAGATCCAAAAGGGAAAAGAAAGGCCACAAGGCGCAAGAGGACTTTGTGGCTGAGCGTGTATTCCCGGATGCTGTCCAACCACACACCCTGGCGACTCCACCTAGGTGAAGGGCGTGAGCTGCCTCGGGCACCTCAACAGTGCGTCGGACCGACGGAGGGCCGAGGAAGAGCCAGCCGGGGGGCAGGCAGAGCACCGCCACACGGCCGCTCCCGGACCTCCACAGCGGAGCGACCCAGCGCTGTCGCACCACACAGCCACAGCCCCGCCGGCAGCCGCCGCCACGAGCTCGCCCGGCAGCGCTGGAGCTCCGAAACAGCGGCGCCGGATTAGAGAAGCAAAGCGCCGGGGGTGTGCAGGGGGGAGGGGGTGCTGGGGGAAAAGACTTCGCTTCGTGCTGCGGCCCGCAGGCCGAGGGGCGCGGCGGGCGGAGCGGGGATGACCGCGGCCCCCTCCCCGCGCCGGGCCGCGCCGTGCCAGCCGCCCCTCCGCGGCCGGGAGCCCGAGCCGAGGCGCGGCCGAAGGCGGCCGTCCCGCCGGGCTACGAGCGGTTGCCAGGGCGATGGGGAGGGCGGGCAGCAGTCAGTCACACCAATTCAATTACAGGTACCGGGGCCGGCCGCGAGAAGCGTTCCGCGGCTTCAAAAGCCGGGATTAGCAGCGTCCCCGGGAGCTCCGGGGCGCGAATAGCGGCACGCAGACCTCGGGGGGAAGGGGCTGGGGAAGGGACGTACAAAGGGAAGGACGGCTCCTCCTGCCCCATCCTCATAGCAGAGCGGGGCCCGACGCCTGCCGAGGTGAGGCGCGGGGTGCCTCGCTGTCACCGTGGTGCCGGAGGGAAAGGGGAGAGAGGAAAAAAGCCGAGGAAAAAGAAAAAAAGCAACATCGGGCTCGAGAGCTGTCTGTACCCAGCCCCACACGTATCCACGCGTGTTACACGGACGGGGACAACGAACGCACACACCGACCCCTAGGAAACAAAAAAATAATAATAATAAAACGTAGCGGGAAACAGCAGCACCGAGGAGGGCTGAGCTCACAGACATCGCTCAGATTCAGGATTCAGGAGGGGAAAGAAAAAAAAAAAAAAAAGTCGTCCTCCCCAGGGAGCGGAGGGAAGAGCCTGGCTGCTGCGGCGGAGCCGGTCCTAAAGTTAACTTTCGGCAGCCCGTTTCCAGACAGCAGCGCTGGATCTATTTGGATAAAACGCGTGTGACCCAGACACTTGGCGCCCGGCCCGATGCGTTGCACCGGCAGCCCAAATAAAAACAAGAGTCTGACTGCCTCTCACTCGCTCTCTCCCCTCTCGCACAACGAGAGAAACCCGCGAGCACGGAACCCGCCGACCCACGGCTGGAGCCCACTCACCTCCCCCCGCCGCACCACGTCCCGCAGACAGACACACACCGACAGCAACGCGGCTCCGCGGGGTTAAGAGTCTGGCGAGTCCCCGGCGGCCCGGAGTAAATCAAAACCACACGCTTCCATCTTCCTGACGAGCCCGGCCAGCGCTCGGCGGGCTGCGGGACGGCTGCCGCCAGCCGCGGGGAGCGCGGCCCGGGGGCTGCTGCGCCTGCGGGCGGGGGCTGTCTTTTTTTTTTTTTTTTCCCCCTTTCTCTCCTCTTCTTCCTAACTAACGATCTCGTACTAACGCCAGAACAATCTCAAGCAAAGCTGCCCTGCTCCAGACCGTGCCGTGCAAATCGCGGCTGTTCTCGGTCGAAAAGCCCTCGCACCCCCTTCCCCCATTCTCAGAGGTTTCTCTCTGAAATCGCTCCAATCCACCTCGCCTGGTGCGAGACGACTCCCCCCGCGCCCGAGCCCTGCACGCAGCGCCGCTCGGGACACGAGAAAAGAAAAAGTTCATCGAATAGCGTGAAATCTTCCTTACCGTGCTCATCTTCACTTTCTGATATAAAGTAAGTTTCAAACAATAGAGATTGCACAGGACGGATCCCGCTTCCCTCTCTGCTTTTCCCCTCTGAGCAAGCCACCATCGGGGTATCTGCGCCCACAGAATCACGTTCTGTCGCCTCCCCAAAAGGGGCTCTTAAGAAACGGACCGGCGGGGCAGCAGGGAGGATGCCATCAGTTCACCCCACCTATCACCCTGCACATTTTGTCTTTCCAACGAGAAGGGGGGGAGGAAGGAAGGAAAAACAGGCTTATATTGAGGTGGGGGTGGGTGCCCTCCTCTCGAGCAGCCGCCTCTGTGCGAAATACCATGTGAATATCATCTGAGTGGGGGGGGGAGCAGGGGGGGTAGAGAGAGAGAGAGAGACGAGAGAGAGAGAGAGAGAGAGAGAGAGAGGAGAGCGGAGGGGGGGAGAGAAGGCAGGCAGAGCAGGAAGGACTCAGGAAAGTTTGGTTGAAGTAGCCCCAGACCTCCTCTCGCTACCGGCTCCCAGCCAAGCCGAGCGCGGCGGCAGCAGGAGCCTTGGCAGCCTCGCCCGGGGGACGGCGCGGAGCACGCTGACGTCAGCCTGCAGATGTGCCCCGGCCCGGCGGCGGCGCCGCGCATGCGCGCCGCGTCACGTGGCGGCGGGGGGGGGCAGGGGTACAGTCGGGGTAACGCAGAGCGGCGGGGAGGGACGGGGAAGAGGCGCCGTGCGCTGCCGGCGCGCCCACCGCGCCGAAGGCGGAACAGAACGGGGCTTTAACGACCCTCGCCGCCTGCCGTGCTGTAGGGCGGCGCGGTGTGCCGGAGCCCGACCGGGCCCCGGGTGGGCGTTGCTGGCGGCGGGCCGGGCAGCCTCCTCCGCTCCTCCGCCCGGTGAGGCGCGGACGAAGCCGGCAGAGGCCTCCCGCCGGCCTTCGGCCCGGGCGTTACCGGGGATTTCATCAGAAGGCGGCTCTCGTGTGCCGTGAGGGCGCGGTGCCGGAGAGGCAGCTCGGAAGCGGCGGCTCTGGCGGCCGGGACGGGAGGAGGCCGCCCCAGGGGCGCCCGCGTAGCGCCGCGGCTTTATTTGCAGCGCGGAGCCCGGGTCAGAGCAGCCCGGCGCTGCCGCCAGCCGACTGCCCGAGCGCTGCGCTCCTCCGCGCTGCGTCGGAGGCGGCGGGGTGGTGCCGGAGGGCCGCCAGCGCGCGGGAAAGGTCCCACGGTGCAGCCGCTGCGGGGCGCGTCCGAGGGCTGGAGGGGCTGGAGGGCAGCCGCGGCCCGAAGGCCGGTCCTGGGGCGGCACTGCGTCGGAGTCACGGCGCGCTCAGTTCTGTCTGAGCGCAGCGCGCCGCTGCGGTCCGGTTCTGAGTTCCGCACTAAACCGGCGACGTTCCTGTCAGCAGCAGCTTCAGCGGAGTAGGCACAACCCCCTAGGAAGGTACTCGCGTTTGTCCCCGTCCTCCCGAAGCGTCCCGCTACCTTCCTCCCGGTTACGAGGCCCCGCCGCTGCCTTCGGGCAGCCCGACGTGCTGCGGTTCGTGCAGGAGCGGCTCGGCGTCGCGCAGCGCGCACCGGCCGCCTCCGGCAAGCAGCGCCGTGCGGCGGCGAGCCGCGGGCGCGGAGGTGCTCGTGCAGAGGGCGCCACCCTGCGGGGGCCGCCGCGTGCCTCTGCAGCGGCCGCTCGGTGAAAGCGCCTTGGTCAGCTTGGGCGCGGAGGAGTGGTTTTTCGCGGAGTTGCGAAGTTCCTCCTTCTGCAGCTAATTCATTTGTAAGACGATCGCGTTCGTGCGGCGCGCTCTGCGGCAGGTGCGGGCAAGCGTACCTTAGCTACGCTGGCCGTTTCTGCGGACGGACTCTGTGACGGTCTCTGCTCAGCGTAGGGCCTGCCAAACGTGCAGTCTGCCCTTCTGAAAGGACAGCTTTTCCCCCATTCTATACCAGGACCAAAAATAACCTTTTGAACAGGGAGACACACGTGATCCAGTTGCCTCATGGTCGTGGTATCCTGGTGGGATGTGGAGACCTGTTCAGGTCCTGCCGAGCCAGACAGAATGCAGTCTTGACAGCTAGGCTGGGGTTATTCTGGTGTGGAAGATCGGCTGTCTGTGGTTGGAGCTGCTCCATGGCATATAACCGATTAAATACTCATCAAGCTAAAAAGAAAGACAGCTTAGCACTGTCTGGACAGGGCACTTCGATGGCTTCAGCTCTCCGCTCTAAATCAAGCAAGGCAAAGACTTGGGCTCTGCAAAGCTCAGCTGCCTGCTCAGACCAACAAGTTATTTATTTTCTGTCCCAGACAACTCCATCTTCTTGCCTACACCCACTGTTGGAGCTCAAGAAATGTTTCCAATAGCAATTTTGTCAAAACTGGTATATTACCAGGAAAAACTTTTTGGCTCCGGTTAAAAAAATTCCTGACCATCTATAATTAGAATTTCTGACAGAATTCCCAATATAGTTTGACTTACTCTTTTTGCATAAAATCACTTTTCCCTGAGTGAACCTGGTTCAGATAAAAATAGTGAGTCTATTTGATGACTTTTATTTTTGTCTCATCAGCCTGAATAATACCCACGTGTTTTTAATGATTTGCAATATTTTAAACAAGAAACTAGTACAAAAAGTCATATGCAGATTCTTAGTATAATTTTCTATTTGCTGTAAGTAGAAACAACCAAATAGCAGAGATAGGAACTGCCATTCTGTGTCTCAGAAGCTCCGGACAGGATTACAGATTTATTGAGCACAGAGTGTTTGACTCCATGTCTTACCCTGCTTGTTAGTCTTTGCAGACTAGGCAAGTAGTTAGCTAAAGCATTAAGCACTCTTGACTTTACTTTAGGCCTTCAAATCCTTTAGCATGTCAGTCAACAACTGATAAGATTGGCAAGCACTTTTTTGTCTAAATAAATATTTACATTAAACTTCAATTTAACATTGCTAGACATACTCAGAGGTATTTGAGGCTGATTCCAGGAATCTTGCTGTTAACTAATAAACACAGAAAAGAAAGCTTTTAAGTATTTGTACAAGTGTACTTCTACAAGAGGTGTTTCTCATTCTCTATATACTTGAATGGGCATGCTTGAATGTATGTCTTCTCTCCAATACGTATATTCATCTGGTCACTGAAGACTCAACTGTAATATGCTATTGTATTTAGAAATTTTCCAGCAATACTTGGGGAGAGAAAAATCATTTCTAAGTATTCAACATAAAAATGATACCTGTACAACAAGCATGATTCGTCAGTCATTTTTATTCTCATTAAGAGCTTTATTTGAAATGCTTAGGTAAGTGGAAGGCAGTCAATAATATTCTTACCTGCAAAGTAAGAAACAGTGGGCAAAATTTCACCCAACATATTGGTAAAACACAGTTTCTTATTAGCAATAAGTTCTTATGCAGTGCAAATTTTGAAGTATTCTGATATACTAAATTATAAAATTAATCACATTCA